GGTTGCTGCTTGCTCTAAATTCTCCTTGCTTTAAATTAATTTCACGTACTAATTAGAGCTAGAATGAAGTCTATAAACTGCTAATCTTAGAACAGTGAAAAATGGTATTAAAATTGGGCCAGTTTCATTTCCCAGAAGGGAACCCTTGGACGTGGGATTGCATAATCTCTTTCTAGGACCCATTCGGGGGAACTTTTCCTCCCTTCTTAACCTTCCTATCATTCCTCTCCCTTTTTCTTTCCTTCAATGGCCCCCAGTCCTCTCTTACCTCCTGGTGAAATGATTTCATACCCTGGCTTTAACTTTGCTGTTGGAAGGACTGTTTCTGAGATGATCATGCTGTGGGTCAGAACTCTACGGACTTTACTAGTTTCTTCTCATTCATCATTTGTCTTCCTTTAAGCAAACTGGCTAACTACTCCTGTAGACTTTTGATGAAATGGAATCATGCTGGCTCTGGGCGTGGAGCCACATGTGGGCTCCTTTAATTTCGGACTGATTTGCTGTTGAAGCTGAGGCCCTTGACGCCTGTTCAGAAGAAACACAAAGTGGTGGGACAGTTTGTCTCCTTGTGCACTCAGTCTAGCTGCTTCATCTTTCAGAGCCTGGAGTTAGAAGATGTAGGAACCAACCGAGCCGGGCATCCATCCTGAGTGGGAAGGGCCACAGGATTGTCAGGAGTGCAGTCTGCTTGAGTGATTAGCGGCATGTGGCCACAGGGAAGTGGTCTCTAAAAATAGCTGGTGAGCAGTCTGCAGTCAGGTCCAGTTTCAGCACTGGATCCTTGTGCTGGCAGTACTGGTAGTGTCAGTTCTTACAGGGAAGAACCGCTGGGTACCCCATACCTCCCGGGGGCACCTTAGTTTTTTCCCTTCAGTGTATTTTGTACATGGATTGAAGAAATCAAAATGACTGAAGATAAAGGTATATTTCTGTTGTTTGGCATAAAATGGGGACCCAGGCCTAGCTGCCAGCTTGTTGCTTCATTTCAGCTGCATTCGTTTCAGAAGCTTTTGGCTAAGTGCTTTGAGCTTTCTACATTTTCTGTCCTGAATTTCTGGAGAGATCGACTGTTCACAGTGGCTGGGTTTTCATGAAATAATCTGTCTTTAATCAGAATAAGAGTTGGTGTCCTAAACTGTCTTTTATTGTATTCTACTACTGTGAACCACATTGTACGAACTTCCATAGTCTGATATGTCTGTTACAGTGAACCTAGAGAATTCTGTGTTCGGACTTCATATTAAAGGATGGGAAACTTAAGGGATATGTAAATTTAATCTTGTACCAGTGAGCATGCTTGGTTCAAGCAGGCTTGCCTTATTTGGAAATTGACCTACTTCATGTGTAGCAGAGGGTAAATGAAAAACAAAGTTAAAGACACTAGAATTTTGTTTCTTAAATGGATACTTTCATTCCCTTAATGTGTTGGATTTACTTTTTTGTATATGCCTTCTATTTTCTTTATAAGCAAAGATTGTCCTTTTGTTAGTTAAAGCTTATGCATCGGTTAGGTATATTGAAACTCCATATAAGGAGTTGTTGTTTTAATATTTTAGTTGCTTTGTTTAGTATCAGTGTGAAATGCCAGGCACAATGCCCACTAACAGTTGTCCCTGAGTGGTTTGTAGTTTACTTAATGGCAAATGAGTTACTTGACCCTTCTGTTTACCCTTTCCTGGACCAATATACAGTGACCTTTGTCCCTAGCCCAGACTTCATTTTCGAGTCCTTTCTCCTCATTGTTGGAATGCTTGCTCTCCATAGTAATGTTCTGTTCAGTACCATGTGCAAACATTTTCTAATGTGGACGTCATTTTGATGAGCTAGCTTGAACAAAAATGAATCTCATTTCATTTTTATTTCAGAACATGAATTGTAATTTTCTTAACTCTACAAAACCCTGGTGACCAGTCTCTAGGACTATAGTTTGGATATAGAGCCAGAGAACAAGATTAAGACTGACTCAGAATTATTTTAATCTCAGAAAATAGCATCAACTGCTGGTTGTTCTTCCAGAATATTTCTGTGACGACATCCTGGTTTTGAGTTTGTTTGTGGAGTTTGAAATCCTTGGGAAGTATTTGCTTTACCTCACTTCTCCTGAGTCAGGAAAATGGATCTGCCCCTGGGGACTAGGCATTTACAGACCGAGCACATGCTGTATGCTCCAGAAAGGGGCTCTTCAAAGACATCTAGACCCTTAGCTCATGCTTAGCTTTCCTCATGAGCATGTTTGAAGGAAACACCTTGGAGTGCTGACAGAAAGATTCTTCTGTGACTTAATGCTGTGATCCTTTATAGAACTAACAAGTATTAATAGTAATAAGGTTAATGATGCTGGAGAAACACACTGATTGACATTGTAAAGGGATAAAGTATTTTTAACAATATGCTATTTTAGTTAATGAGGAGCAGTAGGAAAAGATGGCATCTGTCAGAGTGTCCAAGAACAGATAAGACAAGAACCCAGTTTATTGTAGTTTTAGCATTGATTTTTAAATGAATGTTTCAGTTTCAGATGTGTTTCACTTTTAAGAAAGATTTATTTTTGCTTTTTAGTTATTGGTGTGCACACATGAGTTCAGGCTCACACAGAGGCTGATGACTTTGGATTTCTCTGCAGCTGGAGTTACAGGTGGTTGTAAGCCACTGAAGTGGGTGCTGAGAAATGAACACAAGAGCAGTACACCCTCTTGACCACTGAGCCATCTCCAGCGTGGACTTATCTGTCTGTTGTATAAAATTAAGAAGGCTTTTTCATATAGCTTGGAGAAGATGTCTTGGCGTTTATAAAAGTGTAGTAGACTAAACCCTGAGCACTGCTATTGAGGATGCCTTCCTGCCTCATAGAACTTAGCCATCTCTTCCCTTATTTTGACAAATTCCAGAGATAGCTTATTTTGTATTATTTTAATGATTTATGGGATTATTTATGGCATATAAAAAATATTGGAAATCATGTTCTCCAACAATAAAATATCTTATTTAGCTATAATTTTATACGCTTAGAAGAATATACTTACGTATACACATGTGTTTGAATGTGTGCACACACTAAGACTGGGTTAGTTTTTCGATCTCTTGAAGATTTGATCTACAAATGGGTTTAAAGCATGAATATTCTTGGGATCAGGGTAAGAGCGTAGGTTGCTCTTGCAGAAAAGACTTCGGTTTGGTTCAGCACCCACGTAGTAGCTTACAACTTGCTCCAGTTCCGGATGGTCTCTTCTGACTTCTACAGGCACCAAGCACTCATATGATACACAGATGTACATGTAGACAAAATACTCATATGCATAAAATAAATCTAAGAAATCTTTGCCCTCTAATAGATGATGATTCCTGTCCTTGAGAATTCAGGGGTTCCCAGGCAGGCAATGCCTAGTGCAAGGGATGTTTAGGGATATTTCGGGGGATAATCCTGGGACCCATCTGCCTTGGGACTAGGGGAATTCAGCATGTTGGATGTCTTAGCACATGAGAAATGGTTGCACAGAATGAACAATGTTTTGCCTAAGCTTCTAGAAACACCTTCAGCAGAAACATGGGCAAGTTGCCATGAGGGCCACATGTATGTAGCCGTGCTCATGGCAGTGCTGTGGAGAGCCCACCGTGCCACACATACTGGGCATTGTCCTTCGTGTTGGTAGGATGGAGAAAGATTTCCTTTTCCCAGATGTCCTTTTGGGATATGATATTACCTTCTAAGTATACTTGTTTATATTTGTGGAATATCACATTCTTTTTAAAGAGAAATTTACATATGGTGCTAACTTTTTAAAAAAGTATTGACTTTTTTTTTATAGCAACCAGTGACTTCTGTTTATTTGACCATTAGAAGAATATTTCTGGAAGATTATAAGCCACATAAAATATAGCAAATGTGATAAACGACACTTGGTGGACAGCAGTTTACAGAGCTGTTTCCTGCATTGAGGCCAGTTGGCAAGGCCTGTTTCCTGCCTCCCCACGCCCTACTGGATCTCCTGAAGGAGGGAGGTGGAACTGGGCTGCATTGCTTCTTTTTGTCTGTGATTTATGTTTCTGTACCTTCTCTCTCTCACCTTCCCCAATATTGAATAATTTTACAGGGGATTGTTTTCCTCTGTGGAAGTTAATGCAATTCAGGCTGTGCACACTGTAAATAGGATATGGAAAAAGATCTATATGCATCTCTGATTTCATTAAGTTAGTTGTGACTCACTGGACTTTCAGGGTTCGAAGGTGGGTTTTTGATTGTGTGTTAGCAAGAGACATTGCTCCATAAGAAAATAGCAACTCACCAGCACCAGGGAAAGAAGGAGCTGGCAGAGCCGAAAGACACCAGGAAGATCAGCATGGCCATTAAGGGATTAGAGAGCCATAAGGACAGGAAGCTGCAGAAGTAGAAAGCAAAGCAGAATGCCTGTCCCAGTGTCCATGTCACTTGCTAAAGACTTGGATGTTGTAACAAAATGAAAACTGAACAGCTTTGGCAAGTTGGAAACTTATATTTTTGGATAATACAAGACAACAGTGAGAAATATCAAAACAGGGCCAATATTTTCCTTGGTACAGGAAGACAAGAACCTGAAGTTTCAGGAGGAATTATGACATACCAGTCAGTGTCTGCTGATTAGCACACAAGGCAGGGCATGTGGCCATTTGGACACAAAAATATTGCCATGCAGACAGTTTTGACAAAGGACTTTGAAGGAATGTATGTTTTCTGCCATTCTATTTCAAACAAACAAACAAACAAACAAACACCCATAGCCCATCAAGAATTTGCTTGTGTTCAAAATTAAGATTATTTAAACATGGTAATTAAGTAAGCGGAAACTTCTTTGTGTTCAGAGTCATTATTTTATGTAGTACACTTTTAGTATTTAAGTAAAACATGTTTCTGAAATGATATATCAAATTACTGTCAAAATACATGAGGGGGAAAAGTGGCGTTCAGCCAAGTGTTTTCATCCTCTGTGATGACACTTTATGTTTTTCTTTCTCCTAAACAGAGGCAAAGCATGGAGGACACAAGAATGGTCGGAGAGGAGGAATTTCAGGCGGCTCCTTTTTCACGTGGTTCATGGTCATTGCATTGCTGGGCGTCTGGACATCTGTGGCCGTCGTGTGGTTTGACCTTGTCGATTATGAGGAAGTTCTAGGTAAGAATTAGGGTACGATCACTCTAATGAGTTTGTAAGAGTGAAAATGATAGCCCTTGGTTATCCAAGGCTTGTTATTTCCTCTCTTTTGTTATTACTGGCTGTAGCTTCCCATTGATTCTTGATAAAGCAAAGGGCTGTCCTGGAGTAGTGACCTGAATCTTGAAGATTTCTATGTAGACTATTTATTGTGGTATATGGATGCTCCTATCAAAATAAGTTTTGTTAAATTCATATCCACTATTTTCTGCACTCTTTATTTTCTGTTCAATTTTATTATGAGTTTTAAAAATTCTAGATCATGAACTGACTCCTTAGTGACATAGATCTGAAATAGCATCTTATTCTATAGCCCAGGCTGTCCTGGAACCTACAGTGATTCTCCTGTCTTGGCTTCCAAGTGTTAGGATTACAGATGTGAGCTGCCATGGTTGACTTGCAAAACCTTTTTTTAGAGAGGGCTTTCAAGGAACGCCTGCATGTTCATGTCTGTTGAGATAGGAGTGTGTGTGCACATGGCTGGGTGAGTGCTGGGTAGACCACATGGTTAGGTAGGGCATCTCCCTGCTCACTTGAGGAAATTCCTGGGGGTACTTCTGGTGGTATTTCCTGTTCTCTTTATATAATCACTAAAGCTTTAAGTTTTTTATTTATGTGCTTATGTGAGTGTATGCATGTGTGTAGGTACCTATAGAGATCAGAATAGGGCAATGTATCCCTTGGAGCTGGAGTTTGAAGCCATCATGAACAACCTGATATGGGTTCTAGGAACTGAAGCTGGAGTTTTCTGGAAGAGCAGAAAGCATTCTCAGCTGCTGAGCCATTTCTCCAGCCACAATAAAGTTTTAAAAAATTAATTGTTTTATTTTAACCATTTTTTAAAAAATAAACAGGGAGAAATCATATAAGTTAAATATTGTAAACACTTAAAAATCTAAAATTCATTGGTTTTTAATATACTCACAATTTTGCACAATCATCATCATTTAATTTAGTGCTTTTCTATTATGTACTCTTTCCCAGACAGTCACTCCTCACTTGTCGTTTTGGCTTTCTGTGATTGTTTTGAGTGTTCTAAGCATAGCATGTACATGTATTTTGAGTTGCCTTCTTACGGTTAGCACCATTACATGTGTAAGGTCCAGAGTACTCCTCCATCTATGGGTGCAGCACACTGTTTATCCCGCAGTCCGTGATGACCATCATTTGTTTTCACTGCTGGCAATTATGAAGTTTGGCCGTCCCCTTTAATAATCCAATTAAGGACACAGACATGTCAGTGAGAAAACTATGAAGTTGCTAATGTCGTGTTAGAGACCTGCCCCCTTCCAGTAGACCCCTTGTGCTGTCATAGAGGAGGACAAGGAACAACACAAAATGCTTATATATGATCTGTACATTGATGTTTTTCTTGCTCTCTCACGGCCTTAAGGGAAGTGGCTCCCAATAGATAAATAGACTAAAAAATGTTTAGTTTATCGTAAAGAAAAGTATGAGTTCATTAACATACAGTGTTGCTAGGTAATTTGTATATTTTTAATGATAAATAATAATTTTCATGTTTTTATATGCATGCAGCCAAAGCAAAGGACTTCCGTTATAACTTATCAGAGGTACTTCAAGGTAGGCTACTTACTGGAGATGCATCTTAAGTGTTTTTGCATCTGTCTCTAAGACCTCATCCTTACTTTCCTAATTTAGTCATCTATAGCAAGAATGTAAATGGTTGGACCAGTCTCCCTTTGTAAGGTTCTCAGGAAGGGTGTGGCTTGCTGTCTTTAAATTGTATTAAAGCACTATGCTATTGATAGCCTTGAGTTACAGGTTATTACTTCGGCTTTCTTAGTGGTAAAGATACCATCTTCATCCCTACTTTCTTAACAGTTTTCTTGTGTGTTAGACTTTTATATAGCAAAACTAGATCTGGGAATTTTGCTCTGCACCAAAATTCCCACTGCAATTATTCTTTGAATTAAAGAACTAGAAACTGTTTTTTGCCATCTAGTTTTCATAAGAATGTTACATTTTTGCTCTTTACAATATTGAGTGCACTATAATTTTTTCTTTATAGTTCTTGTCCAATGATGAATTATAAACCACGTTGATTTCAGAATAATTTCTAGGGTAGGGACTGTACAAGACTCACTTGGTGAAGTTTGGTTTGGTTCTTCCTTCTAGCCCCATGCTCCCAGAAATAAGACTTGACTCAAAATATAGTTACAGATACCTTGGCCATATAGCTAGGCTTTTCTCTGATTAGTTCATAATTTAAGATAACATTTATTCTAATGTGTTCCGCCACATGGCTGGCTACCTATGCTCAGGTACCATGTATCTGTAACATCTTCCTGGAAAATCTTCTGTGCCTGGCATTACCCCAGAATCCTTTCTGCCTCCCAGAATCCTTTTTCATGCCTAAGCTATAGGCCATCAATTTTATTATTGACAGGTGCCACATCCATACAGACACAAGATATTTTCTCTAAGTCATTTGAAATGCTAAATCTATAGAAAGCGCCCTGGAGGCATGGACAGTGTACAGCCATTGTTGAGTGAGTGCCACATAAACCTGGATTCTCATGGTTCCTTTTTACGCCTTCCTTTTTTCCCCTTTAAGTAATGGATGTCTGGTGCCAAGGACATTTTTAAATGGCTGACCATATGTTCTCCCTCATCATTTCAGTTTTACCTACTTCACCTCCAGAACTGACCATTCTACCTCAAGTTGACGCATGCTTTCTTAAAAATAATTTATCGTTAAATGTTAAACTAGTCATGCTTCACTCTGTGAAGTACTTATGTCTCTGTTGGTTTACTTATATTTGATCTTTGTTTGAAGCTTGGACTGCATAGATTGTTGGTAGTTTAGCGAAGTTTTACACCTCAGAAACATCCAATTATATACAATTGTTAAACTGTTAGAAATGGGTTGATATTTTTCTTAAATATGTTCCAATTTTATATAAAATATCCTGGAGAAAATAGTAAAATTATTGTGAAGTGATAGAATTGTTAGGGAAAACCTCTCACTTGTCTCTTAGAATTTTGTTAGCTACGTACTTCCTGAGTCTATCATGCCTGCCTGTAAGCTTTGATAATGTATTCTTACGGCTTGGCTTTGCAGCTATAAAAGGAGAGGAAGCAGTAACATTTATGGTATCTAAAGACTGCAGTAAGAGACAGTTCATTATTAAACTTGTTTTCTCTCTGTTCCTATGTCTATCATTTCTCTCCTGTTGTAGGAAAGCTAGGAGTCTATGATGCAGATGGTGACGGAGACTTTGATGTGGACGATGCCAAAGTTTTATTAGGCAAGTACACTTCTTTCTCTTTCTGTTGAAGGAGTCAGATACTGAAGTCAAAAGAATATTTTTGCTTTGATAGTTATCTACAGCAACTGTAAACATTTCTATTTATTGATTTGTTTATTTATTTATTTACATACCAACTACTGCCCTCCCTCCTGGTTTTTCCCCCTCACAGAGTCCCTCCCCCCTTCCACCTCCACTTCTCCTTTGAAAGAGTAGGGCCCCTCTGGGTATTCCCCCAACCCTGGCACATCAAGTCTCTGTAGAATTAGGCACATCCTCTCCCACTGAGGCAGAACAAGGCAGCCCTCTGCTACAAATGTGCCAGGGCCTCCTTCCAGCCCATGTGTGCTGTTTGGTTGGTAGCTCAGCCTCTGGGAGCTCCCAGGGATCCAGCTTAGTTGACACTGTTGGTCTTACTGTGTGGTTGCCATCATCTCCTTATGGGCCTTCGATTCCTCCCCACCCCAAGTCTTCCATAGGTGTCCCCAGCCTCCATCTAATATTTGGCTGTCAGTATCTGCATCTGTCTCAGTCAGCTGCTGGTAGAGCCTCTTAAGGGACAGCTATGCTAGGCTCCTGTTCGTAAGCATAGCAGAGTAGCACTAACAGTGTCGAGGATTGGTGGTGTTGGTTGGCCATTCCTCCAGTCTCTGCTCCATTTTTGTCCCTGCATTTTGTTTAGACAGGACAAATTTTTGTGAGTGAGTTGGTTTCCTTATCGCTTCACTGGGGCTCATGTCTGTCCACAGGAGGAGGCCTCTTCAGGTTCCGTGTCCCCACTGTTAGGCATCTCAGCTAAGGTGCCCTGCACTGAGTTCTGGGAGCCTCCCCCATCCCAGATCTCTGGGACTTCCTAGTGATTCCACCCCTCACCCCCGCTCCCAGCTCCCCTACCCCCATTCATTCTCCTGGCCTTTCAGGTATGGGAACTGTAAACATTCTATGGGAGATATTTTGCAACTTAATATTTCATTTTTATTGATATACCAAATGAGCACTTTTCCATTGTGACTTTTCAAATCGCTTTTATAAGGGCATTTTAGCTCTTAAATTTTAATAATTATTAGCTTCATTTGTGTTTCCAGATTTAAGCATTTCATATTCTGAACTTGATGTTTAGAGATAGAGATAATGTCATCATGTGTTTTCAAATGAGGAACAGATTTTTTTTTAAAGTACCATTTGACATAATTTCTTCTGACTGTAAGATGTAAATTTCTCCCTTTCAAATACTGATCAGGGTCAGCTCTGCTTAGCATTCATAATGAGGGCTGCATGTTCAGTGTGATATGACTGTAGATGAAGCTGTACATTTCTCAAGGTTTATATAAGTTAGTTTTGAAACAAAACTATGGCACTAAATATCTTTAATGTCCTATTTGTAGCTAAAGTTTACATGAAAACATGGACTAATTTTCCTGCTTTGACATTTTCCTGCTTTGACAGTCATAGATTCCTTTCTGTCTTTGTAATTACATTACCAGCTAGATTTATCTTGAAATAAATAAAGATTGTTATTTCCTCATTGTTTTAAAATACTGTTTCAATAGAAAGGATAATGCTGATTTGAATATGCAGATTTTGTGTACTGTGTCTTGTTATTTCTGGTTTTAAGCAGCTCACTTCCTTTTCCTTAGTATGAAGCAATATGTATTAAAGCTTCAGATCAAATTATTAGCAAAGCGGTAGCTATGCCTGATAGTATATATGCACTAAGTTTAATAGCATGCTAAATAAACAATCTTGTGAATTTATGAGTATGAAGAGATAGAAAGGTACTGTAGCAGGTTCGGAGCTTTGCGTAGTTAGATTTTACATCCTTTTAAAACAAATTGTAAATGTGGAACAGTTTTAGTTTCACATTTGGTCAGCTGTAATACAGCTTCTGATTTAGCCCTACCGTGGTGTATGGTTTTTTCTTTATGCACAGTGGGAGATAGTGCTTGTTATTTACAGTTGGAAGTCCACTGTATATCTTTCATGCTATATCTTGATCTAATTTTAATTGCTTTCTGACTATAATTTCATCAAATCAGAGTTTCAGTTCCTACATTAAGTCCTCAGGTGACCTTAGTTTTAGGCAAGTGGAAGAAATAAAGCCATGAACAACTTAATCCATTACGATGATGGCGTTTCCTTGCTGTATGATGTAAGATACGACTTTAAGTGAATTCTGAATAGTGGGGCTTTTAAAGGATAATGTCACAGGAGCCCTCCTCTGTGTGTGTGTGTGTGTGTGTGTAGGACTTTAGTGTGTTTTGAAACAGACACACACAGACACACACAGACACGCACAGACACGCACACGCGCACACACGCGCACACACGCACACACACACTAACCTGATGCTAGTTAACTATAACACTAAGAACTGCTGTCTGTAATAGACAGGGTGACCAGCTTAGTTTGTTCTTTTATTCCACTTGTGTGCCGGGATCTGGATCCCCGGGTGGGCGAGCTCCCTCTGAGTGAGCTGCTCTGTATGCAGCTGTCAGTCTGTACTTGGCATTATGACTTCGATGAAGATGAACTTCAGGCCCATTGACAGCTGTCACCATGTACTGCAAGGTCTTTATTCTCTGCATTCAGTACACTTTAGCTCTTCCTGACTTGGATGGATATGTTTCCAGCATGAGGTAACTAAAACTTAGCTGTGCCTCAGTTACATGCAGGTGTCTGGTGCAGAGTTGTCGCACTCTACGTGATGGGGGAAAAGCTACAGAGCATGCCCCACTTGACACCAACTCTTGATTTCTGTCTTGTTGGGATGAGACCTTGGCCCTGTAAGAGCATAGTTTTAGATAAAGGCAGGAAGCAAGGTAATGGCGGGTGGAGAACAGAGATGACTGCGAGGCACACATGCCATACTTTTTTTCCCCTGGCATTTGAAGCCTAACTCTAAATCATACTAGCCTGTAGAAAGTCTACATACACGCTGCTTTATTTCACACTTTAAGGCTTTCCTCAAGACCAGTAGCTCTTACTGATTCTACTAATTCTAAGGCTCTTGATGTACTTGGAAAATGACCTGCCCTTGAACAGAGAATTTCCTATTGTTTAGGCCAAATTGTCTAAAATGCAAGTGATTTTGGTTTCAGTGTGTTGAGGAAACCTACAGACACATGTGTATGCAACAACAATCAGTGAGAGGCAATGAACTGGAAAGGCAGCAAGCGGGTGGGGCAGCACCGGGAAGGCTTGGAGGAAAGACCAGGGAGGGAAAGTAATATAATTGATTCATAATCTCAAAAATCAAATCAAATCAAATCAAATCAAATAAAGACAAAGCGTTTGTTTCCCACATACTGTCAGCAGGAAATGTCCCAGGACTCAGTGCTAGGAGTAAAAGCTTACAGTAATCTCGCTTGAAGATGCATGCCTGCCCCTTTGTTCTACAGCTAGCAGGTAGCTGACCCCTCTCAGGTGTGGCTGCAGCAGCAAGGGAGGCAGCCAGCAGCTCCTGTACATCCCTAAGTACAGGCTGGGGAGAATTGTGAGACCATACTGAGGAACATGGAATTCACCCTGCATGGAGTGCTGTTCAGTTGAGGTGGACTTAGTTCAGAGGAACTACATGCCCAGAATCCATTTTCTCTTCAGACTGGTGTGTCTGCTTTAAGAATTCTAGGCACAGCTTTGGAGATTGATTGGAAAAACTTGCTGCATAAGCATGAGGACCAAGTCTGGCGCCTTACAGGTGCAACAGTTCATTTGTCCTCAGGAGGTGGAGACAGGAGAATCCCTCAGGACTTGCTGTCTAGCTCCGCTAGCCTAATCATGATCTCTTTTAGGGTGATACCCCATGGTGGTTCACTCCGAACCTACATGGGCTCTCACATTCAGTGCAAACTCACTGTGAACCTCAAGACCTCCCAGGCTCAGTACTGGGTCATGAAGAAGATGCTTAACATAAACTTCTGACCACCACAGAGGCACACACGCAAGTATGTGATGCACACAATTACATACATTAATATATAGGACACACACGACTACAGGCTGTGTAGGGAGGTCACTGTCCAAATATTTGTTGCTCAGTTCCACGTGCCATACTGAAACACGGAAGTTTCCTATTTTATACGTAGTAATGTGAAACATAAGAGCACAGAGGATAATGAAATAAAACAAGGGCTTTCTCTAAATGCACAGTGGTAGCATTTAAGGTGGGCAGAAGAATCGTCCTCACAGGTCATGGGTGGAAATGCAGATCTCTGTTCATAGCATCTGGAGATGTAAGTTAAATGATAAAACACCTGGGATTTGTCAAAAAAAAAAATTAACTACTAACTGCAGTTGGTGTCTTTCCCCTCACTTGTGGAAACTCATAAAGTCTAGTTCTTCAGCTGGAAACAGCAGAGAGTGCACTGTAATCTTTACAGGTAGCCAGAATTCTGTTATCTCTTTTGTGTCAGTACTGCTGGTAGTTGTGCTACATGGAGAAATTGTGTTGTAAACGACCTGAAATGACCCTGCTTTGGTTGCAAAGGCAAAGGCTCTGGAGGTTCTGATGCTCATATTTCTTCCTGTCATAACTACCACCTGCTTCTCTTCCTCAAATTGTGGGGCCTATCAATGTGTAGGGAACTGATTTTACATCCCAAGGGTCTTTCCCTACTCCAGGTCATTTCCCACTGGATATAGTCATGATAATCTACATCTTTATTTCTTCTCTTCAGAGGGTCCTGCTTGGTAGCAATATTTAGAAAACAACAGACATCAAGAGTCTTTGCAGTAAGAACTCCTCCTTTCATGGGCAAGAGGAAGAGGGGTCAGGGTTATCCTCCTGTTCTCCACACCCCCTACCCTGGCTGCTAGAGCTTCCTCAGGGTTCTTATAGGTAGGCAGAGAGGATTCTTATCAGCTCATTTTAACTTACAGGGCCATGAAGAAGTTATGAGTGTATAGAACTAACTGAGTTAGGTGTTGGAGATGAATGATGGTATTTGAGTGTCTGGATGCCAGCTGAGATGCTGCAGGCTATAATCCACTGGCTTGCATG